TTGTCAACAAGTTTGGATCAAGCTGTTAACAACTTGTAACAAGTTTGACGGCATTATCCAACTTCCATTGTTACAAAGTTGTTCTATAACAAGTCCGATACAGTCGTGATATAACAACATTGTTATAACCTTGTGTCGTGAAGCTTGTAACATTCTTGTTACATCAGGACTGTATCAGACTTGGTTGAACAACCTTGTACCAAGTCATCAAGCTTGTTACAAGTTGTTAACAGCTTATTCCAAACTTGTTACAACAACTGGGAACAAGCAGTGCGAACACAACTTGTCGACAGCTTGTGAACAGATTTGTAACAACTTGTTTCCAGACATGTAACAACTTGTTCGTTTTTACATGTCTATCTGCCTAATATAATATAAATATTACTGATATTGAACTCTTACTTCTGCAATCATAGAGAGCGTTTAATTCAGTAACATCTTGATTAGTCATGTAGTCGCCACCCAGATCCATATTAGGATCAGTAATAGATTGCATAGTGTCTTGGTAGTTACTTGAAAATGCTTTTCTGCCATATTGCATTATGCTTTGGTAGTTATAATTTAAACCAAACTGATCAATCTTTCCGTGGCTGAATTTTTCAAACTGTGTTTCCAGCTCTGGAGACAGATTAAAAAACGTTAAATGAAATAGTTTCGGTATACAAGGTTTTCAAAATAATTGGGGGGCCACAAGATTCGTAGGTTCGATTCTCGCCATGGACTCATGTGAAAAGAGTCAGTCAACGCTCTGCCGAAAGTCGTGGGTTTTCTCCGAGTGCTCCGGTTTCCTCCCACAGGGAAAGTTGACAGGGTGGGTTAGGATAAACACAGTTAAGGGACGGACCATTAGATATTTGATCCAAACAAGGAGGACGAAATCTATCATTATATCATAAGAACGTCCTTAAATTAGTAATATTGCCAAATTTGGTTGCGAAATGTTGTAAAATACGAAAAATATAGCTCTGTGAAATTAGCAAATTTTGTGCATTTTAGTATTACCATGGATAATGAAATAAATGGATTGGAAACTTCTGACGTCATTGACTGCATCCTTGTTGAAAAACGTGACGTCACGCGTATTGCGAATGTTACCAAAGTTCTCGGCATTTTTGTTGTTTTGCTATATTTTCCACTTTAAAAGGGTGATCTTGAAGCGTAAACTGGTCTAATTGTTTTAAAAACATGCCTAAGCCACGACAAAGTATACAAGGTAAATGTTTTTCGTCTTTGTTTTGTATTTTTTTACATTTGTAGCTACGAAATTGGCGTCACAAATTTTTGCGAAATTTGCGATGTATTTTTCACTGTTTAGTGCTTGAAATATTTGCTAAAATTGACTGGGAATACTTAGAGTTTTCATCGTAGAATGGCGTGGTTACATTTATTTGCTCTTTGACTAAAATGTTTAGCTGTATTATTGCTAAACATGCCGTTTTTGAGAATTTGGTTTTCAATTAGGTTGAGGCAACCAGCCACGCCATCAATCCCAGTAAAAACATTAGGTCACGTCAGCTAGTTTCATATCCATTTATTTTATTATCCATGGTATTACGCACGGGAAAATGCACCACTTTCGACTGAAAAGTGGCGCATTTTTCCGCGCGTAATACTAAAATACTCAAAATTTGCTAATTTCACAGAGCTATATTTTTCGTATTTTACAACATTTCGCAACCAAACTTTGTAATTTTACTAATTTTAGGATGCTCTTTTGAGCTGTAATGATATATGTCGTCTTTCTTGTCTAGGTAAAAAATAGTCAATAGCTAGAATCATTCATTGTTGCCAAAATAAAATAGTCTATAGGCTAAGTAAGTACTCATGTATGAAACACGAGGCTGTTGACAAAATATAAACTTACTTGGGGCAATATTTTCCCACATGATTTTAAGGAATTTGTCTCGATCCGGTCTACTTTGTTCATGGTAAAAACCTGCAAAACAAAATACAACATTTTATTGACATCTCACTCAATTGAATAATAGTTGAAGGGTCTTATAGATGTAGATGTAGATGGAACCTATCTAATCGAAATTTATATAAATGATCCAGTCCTCGACTTCGCCTCGGATTTGGTCAAATTGCGCGGACTTAAAATCTAATCCACTCCTCATAGTCAGATTTGAAATATTACTTCAATCAAGTGAGATGCCAAGAAAATCTTGCTATTTACCAATAATCTAACATGGCAGAGCCCAAGTATATATACATGAACTTGTGGTTAGAGCTCGACAACTGGCCTCTGTAGCTCAGTTCGTTAGAGCTCGACAACTGTCTCTCTGTAGCTCAGTTGGTTAGAGCTCGACAACTGGACTCTGTTGCTCAGTTGGTTAGAGCTCGACAACTGGCCTCTGTAGCTCAGTTGGCTAGAGCTCGACAACTGGCCTCGGTAGCTCAGTTGGTTAGAGCTCGACAACTGGCCTCTGTAGCTCAGTTGGTTAGAGCTCGACAACTGTCTCTCTGTAGCTCAGTTGGTTAGAGCTCCACAACTGTCTCT